TAGAGTGCATGCTTAGCATGCATAAGAGCCTGGATTAAACTCCTAGCACCAAACCAAACCAAAAAATTATATATATATATAAATTAAAGTAAAAATACACTTACTATTGGTTAAGGAATAAGACTACATATTTTCCTCATATTTCATAATTTAAATGAGTCAGTTTCTATCAAAATGAATATGATAATTGCTCTTCACTACACTTTAACTACAGCTTGATCATTAAATTAGATATTCTCTGTTCAAAATGCATATTGCCCTAAAAGTGCAGCTTTTTAAAATTTTTCAATTTAAAAAATTTTTTAAATATTTTCCAAATAACACACTCCAGTTATGTTTCAGGATTTTTATGGGTACTATAATTAAAAAAAAAAAAAAAAAAAAGTGCCATAAATTTTCGAATTATACAAATTAGCAAAAGCAGTCAAAGTATGTCCAGGTGAACACTACTGCTGTTTGAGACCTGATGTCAGGTTAATTTTATCTGCCAGAGTAGAATACCATAAATATATTCTAGAAAAAAAGAGTGTTTTTTTTTTCTCCTAAGAGTCATAGCAGACAAAAGAGCTGGGTGACAGCTAGAAGAATCATTGCAGAATTACAAAATAGAAATGGATGAAGTAACAAGCATGTGCTGTGAATAATAGTTCTGAAGCACACGCAATGCTGCATGTGCTCTGGGGAACGGGGGAGTCTGACCCTGCATGCATTGTAAGATGATCTCATGGAACAACACAGCACGAAATCAATCAACTCATATTTCCTTAACCCTAACTGCTCAGAGCATCATATTTGATGCTATGCTGTATACAGGCACACCTTGTTTTATTGCTTCACTTTATTGCACTTCACAAATCTTTCATTTTTTACAAATTGCAGGTTTGTGGCCGCCTTGTGTCCAGCAGGTCTGTTAGCTTCATTTTTCCAATGTAATGTGCTCACTTCATGTTTCTAAGTCACATTTTGGTGATTCCTGAGATATTTCAATTTTTTTTCTTTATAACTGTTTCATCTGCCTTGGTGATCTATGATCAGTGATCTTTGTTGCTCCTATTACAGTTGTTCTGAGATATTATGAATCATGCCCATATAAGATGGTGAATTTAACTGATAAATGGTGTGTGTGTTCTGATGTTTCACCAACCTGCTACTTCTGGTTTCTCTCTGTTTCCTCAGGGCTCTCCATTTCCTGAGACACAACAATATAGAAAGTAGGCCAAGTAAGAACCTTACAATGGCTCTAAGTGTTCAAGTGAAAGGAAGTGTCATGTGTCTCTCACTTTAAATCAAAAGCTAGAAATGATTAATCTTAATGAAGAAGGCAAGCCAAAACCCCAAATAGACTGAATAGACCCCTTAGGCCAAGCAGCCAACTTGCAAATGCAAGGAAAAGTTCTTAAAATATATTAAAAGTGCTACTCCAGAGAACACATGAATGATAAAAAGAAACAGATTTACTACTGATAAGGAGAAAGACCTAGTGGTCTGAATGAAGAGCAAACCAGCCACAACATTCCCTTAAGCCAAAGCCTCTTCCAGAGCCACAATTCTGCAAAGACTGAGAGAGGTGAAGAAGCT